GCCCGATCCTGTCCCGATCCCTCCCTCAGCCCGGCCCCGATCCTGTCCCGATCCCACCCTCACCCCGCTCCCGTCCCGATGTAGGTTCGCTGCCCGCGTGGCTGAGGCAGTTGAGTCCCCGTTGGGCCGGGATCCCTCCGGGCTGTGTCAGTTCTGCTGGAAGCAGTGGAAATGGGCCCTGTTTTCTCTCTTGTTTCCCCCGCTGTGAAACACCCCACCCTGCAGCTCCCACAGCAGTGTTTCTGTCTTGTAGGCTTTCAGAACCATTGCTGCTCTGTCCAGCTCCAGCCCAGCTTGGGGGGCAGTGCAGAGTGCCCTGGTTTTCACTGTTTCTAACGTTCCCTCTGCAGTTTGTGGTGACAGATTGCCCGCAGAGGTTTTGGGGATGAACATCAGTGTCCAGCATCAGTGGGGAGCGCTTGCCAGTGGGGTACAGGCATTGTCCTATGGCCTGGGCTGGCTGCTGTCCCCTGGACTGCCAATTCTCTTCATCTATTTAAGGTTTTGGTGTCAACTTCACTTAGCAAAGCATGTATTTCTCCAAAATTTAATTCAAGTAATTTCCCCCATTTATTTCCCTCCAGTTACTAGTGTTCTCTGCTTCCAAGAAAACACTTTCTGTGCATGCCATGAGGAAATGTTACATGGAAATGAGATTATATTTTAAATGAGGTTAAATATGATCAAAATGAATGCATTATGATAGAGCTTTATACAACACTGGAGTGCAGTAGGACTCTTGCTTTTTGAGCTCACAATAAATTCCCAAGACCAAACAGCAGATTTTCAGATTCAGGGTGTGTTGATGCAGTGTGCTAACAGGATCTGTTGGTGTCATGTTATCTGCAGCAGCTATGGGAGTTACACCTCTGCTAGCCAGACCTTCCTCCAGGCCTGGCAATCTGTCTGCTGCAGGGATGCCCAGGCTGGCTTTGAGGAGGCACCAGCCCGTCAGATGAAGCTCAGGAGCTCTGAGGAGCAGCAGCAGCACCTGTGAGTACCATTGTGGCCACAGCTGTGCACAGAGGGCAGGTGTGCAGCTCCCCTGCTGCCACAGCACGCACCCAGCCCTCCCCTCAGCACGGAGTCATGGAATGGCCTGGGATGGAGGGGGCTTTAGAGCTCAGCTCATTCCAGCCCTGCCACCATCCCTGCCCAGCCTGGCCTTGGGCACTGCCAGGGATGGATGAGCCTCTCCTGAAGTGCTTTCAGCAGTCCCTGCATCCCCAGGTGGGAAAGGCAGTGGTGGCATCCCCAAACTGAGGATGGTTCTTCAGCAGGTGTGGAGATCAGGGCTGGTTTCTGTGTAAAACAGGTTAAAGCCACAATGTCCCTGCCCATGGCTGTGGGGTGGAACTGGGTGGGCTTTCCCTCCCAACCCAAACCACTCTGTGATTCCAGTAGAGAACATCAGTAATTAATCAATGCTGCCAATCATGTGATTTTTGTTATTAAAGAGCATGCTTAGAGTTGTATAAAGTAGTTGGAAACTGTAGGGAAAATTAAGTTTAAGATGGTTTCAAGATTTAGATTAGTCACTATCTCTGCCCTTGCCCAGATTTCTTCCTTCCTCTTATCTGGGTAAATTTGTTTTGTGTTGTGGTGGGATGCAATTAAGTCTTTTTGTTCTTGGTTTGGCTTACATGGGAAGAATGCTGTCATTTTGGAATGAAATCTGCCCAGTGACCATCTGTCTCCCCATTAGGATGAAACAGGACATTGATTTAGGCAGTGCAATGATGAAAGGTTTTCTTGAAAAAACAAATGAGCACTTTGCTTTTTTAAAGCCCCTGCCACTGGCACACTGTGGCTCCAGGCAGAACTCTGTGTACAGTGAGAGCTTCATACCCTGGGTGTCACAGATGCTTCCCCAGAAATAAACAGGGCCACCACTTTATTTATTTGACAATAAATAAAACAATTCCAGGTTTTGTTTAAGTGCCTAAATTTATATCTTGGCTACATCCTCATTGAGAAGCTGTTGGAAATGTGAGGCATCAAGGTCAGAGGAGCAGTGGCTCCGTGACCCAGAAGCAAAAGTTCTTCTGGTAGTAGGCAAATGAATGCCGTTTTCTTTGTAACTTAGCAATTAGTTTTCTTACCAAATTTCTTGTGAAGCACAGCAGCAGTGATAAGTATTCTGAAATACATGGATTGTCTTCACTGCTCTCACTTTTTCTGCAAATTTATGAAGTGAACTAAGCTGAAATGAGGGCAGTGACATTTCCTGGCAGGATTTGCTTTGTTTATTTTATTGTTGGCACTTATATGTTGATAAGCACCTTTGTGTCAGATTACTGCAATTTATGATGCAGGAAGGGATTAGTGTGCTGAGTTTGGGATCAGCTGATGGGGAACTGTGTAACTACACAGGAAAACCTCCTTTGGATGAGCGTGACGCTCATGAGCTGAGCAGCTTCTCCCTGTGTGTGAGAACTGGGTGAGTGAGAGGCTTTCCAGCTCTCCTGTGTGCTGTGCTTTCCCTGAAACATTCTGTGGTGTCTGAGGTTTAAATTTGGAGCCATAATCTGGCTCTGTTATTTTCCACACAAGTCAGTCCTCCGTGTGGTTTAGAATCCCAGAATGATTCGTGTTGGAGGGGACCTTAAAGCTCATCTCCTTCCAAGCCCTGCCATGGGCAGGGACACTTTCCACTGGAACGTGGCCCCCAAAAGAGGTGCCAGTCATTTCTAAAAGCTGGGAATTGCTGGATTTCTGTGGCATTTGCTGTCAGTGAAGGCAGCTCAGCGTGTAGCATATGTGACCCATTTTTTGATGTCTTGAAATGGTCTCATCTGCTCCAGTTTCCTTCTTTAGCATTTTTAAGGTTCTTGTGCCTGTGGACCACATGAATGAAATCATGTCTAGGAATAGATTCAGCCTTGCTCAGCATTTATTCTGGGAACAGTTTGGAACTGGCCACTTTTGAAAAGCAGCATCAGAGGCAGTGTTTGGAAAATAACCACAGCCTAAAGGCAGTGAGCATGGGGGACAGTGAGCTTGTGTCCCTGGGCAGCAGCCCCACAGTGGCTGTCCCTGGTGCCACTGGGGATGTGTGAGGTGAGGTGAGGTGCAGTGGGATGCTCCTGGCGCAGCTCAGCAGGCTGGATGCATCCCTGGCAGTGGGAGGGAGCAGGCAGATGGCATTTCTGAGGCAGGATGTGTCATGCTGGCACCCGCCCACGGCTGTGCTCCATCCCTCAGCAGCGTGGGATGCAGGGCTCGGGCTGCTGCTGCCACTTCCCACCTGTGCTTTCTCCAGCCCTCCCCACTCCTGCAGCCTCCAGCTTGGCAAGCACCCGGGCCTGAGCCACGGGAACATTTTGGCCTGCGGTGTGTTGTCAGAGGAGCTGACCACCCTGTGCTGAGTGCTCTGAAATGCTAATGCCTAAAGTAAGAAGGATGAGCTAAAGCTGAGGTGCCACGTGAGGAATGTTTGGCTGAGGGAATAGAAGGGGGTGTTACTGACTGCTTCATCTCCTGGAACAGTTGGGGATTCATGCATCCACAGAAAATTTGTGTTATCCAGCTGACCGGTCATGGCTCAACCTGAGCCTGGGTAGAAAATATTTTACCAAGTTCTTTTCCTAATTTTAAAAACTTTAGGAAATGGGAAAGACAAAAAGTCATGAACAGAATGAACACAGCAAGGCAGTATGCTGTACCCCTCAGGAACGCTGGATCCAGCAGCACACAGATGGATGAATCCCAGGAATAAAGCATTTCTAGTGTGCTCCCACACAAAATTCTTGTGGAAAGAAATGTCCAAATCCAGATTCCCATTTGCAGAGCAGAGCATCTCCTACTCTCAGCGCTTCAGGCTGTTTCCAAGAACAGCTGCTGAGCAGAGCAGGCATTTGGCTGTTTCTGCATCATCCTAGGGCTGGTTCTGTTTAGGTGTTCTGCAGCCTGGGCCCACCCAGCTGCTCCCTGAGCCTCACATTTTCATTCTTCAGTTCCAGAATCTTTCCAGAATCAAGAAAAATGTGTTGTTGGATTTAGCATTGATTTTGTCTGTTTTGGTTA